CAATTTGTCGTCTCTTTTCGTTCTAGAATCGGTTCCCTTCTTTAGTAATAGCTGCGGTGCTATCACAATGAATCAACTACCGGAGGGATCGGTCTTTCCCATAAGGGAATCTCTAGTAATGACCCTCTCAATCAACTTTTCTCTTTACTAGCCATCGCTAGCTCTATCATTTCTGATTTCTTAGTTGATTGAGCCAGGATCGTTTAATTCTTAGAATTCCAAGACACAACACTTGATGTTTAAAACATGTCCACTAGATGCCTTGGAATCTTCTATAGGGTATTCTCTCCGCATCAATATACCCTACCAATACAGCCAGAAACCATTGATAACTTATATCAAGGTCTACTGTTCTTAAGGTGTCTCATGACCCCTTTCAATAGCATTTCAATGCTTCATATTAGGACAATCAGTAAGCCCGCCATGTTCCCCCCACTAAATCGGGTATCATGTTTATCAGCTGCCTCCTGCAGACTGTAAATGCTAGTATATTCTAACTTTCTTACACCGTCTTAGGTGTTCTTTAAATATTTATACTAGCATCATCAAACATGTATGCAGGTGTACATCTTGTATTTTGCTAGTTATTAGGATCTCTAAGCATAACATTTGTTTCAAACAGATCCTTCACATTCAAAATTCTCAACCATCATGGTTTTCAATATTGACATCACGAGTCTTTGTACCAAAGATCGATGTGTCATTCATAATGCAAGTGTCATTCTCAAATTTGTACTAAATGCACTTGTCACTTTCACTTTTAAAACCGTGAGAGAGAACCAGTTTATTCATGCCATCGTCTTAGAGTCTATTTCAAATCTTACAATGATTTGTCTAACTATAGACTCCCTAAGCATGTTCAAGAATAACAACCCTATATGTTGTCCCATGTGGATTTTCTTATCTAAATCACCATTCATGTTTAACAATCCATCTGACGCACAACACTAGCAATCAGAACATACATGGATATTATTCTACATATGGTGAACAGATAACAAGAAAATTTACAATTTTTCCTTTTCGCTTAAAGCCTTAGATATTAGGCGATCCTTATACTCATAAACTAAACCAATAGGTTTCACTTTTCTTTTAAGAATCCATTTATTACCCATGACTTCATTACCAAGAGGTAATTCTCAAAGATGCCAAATCTTGTTCGATTCCATTGATATATTACCCAAGGCTTTATAGCCAAGAGGTACTCTACAAGATTTTAAGTCTGATTAGACTCCAACAATTCCATTTCGTTAATAATGGATTCTCCCACAAATCTACATCTGTATGGAAGTTCGAACTTCTACTAGACTTGTAGGATGTCTTCTTAGGGTGTAAATAACAAATTCATAACCAAAATCCTTCAATGATTTATGGTTCATTTGTCTCTTCTGAGTTCAAAACCAGATTCATCACCCCCACTAGTTATCCATTATTTCTAATAGCCTGCAGGATATTACCCCCACTATTTCTTAATTTAAATGGAAGTCTCTTGGCATTATTGGATTCCAATGAGTATTTTATTTCATAAGTTTATGTGTTTTATTATCACTTATCCAATTAAAACACATTCATGTGCTCTACTAGTAATCATATTGCTCTTATTCTTTAATTCTACCATTAGAATTTCAAAAGCATCACATCAAATAAACATACAATTAACCAGAGCAATCAAAAATAATGCGATAAAGCATTTCAAGCCATTCCAAATAAGCATTTCATCACTTTAACTTTATCATCATATGCATACTCTCATGACCATGACAATAGTGGAGTAAGCAATACTCAACAACACTTTCTTAATAGCATATGTCTTAGTATGCTTCGAGATACCAGTATTTAGCCACCATTCTTCAGAGTTACCAGCATGGTTAATCTCTGCTCTTTTGTCAATCATCACAGCCACCAATCCTTCTCTTCAATCAAGTTAACACTAGAACCAGTGTTATACTTGTTCCTACACTTTCGTGTCATATGACCTAATTTCTCGCAACTATTACAGAGAAATAAAGCGTCATTCTTAGAGGATTGGACGATGATCTTTTAGTTACCACGAATGGTACCATTTTAATTGGTTTAGATGGTTCGTTTTTCTATTATGATTCTTGAACCTTTTAGGTTCAAACTCGCATTAATGACTCGCTTAGTACTGACAACTAATACTTCTTCCAAAATATGAGCACATAACCCATTCCACTATCATATTTACCACATATATGTGCATCTTCAGAGTATGTAATTAAAATTACTCTTTAAATCATGTATACGAAGTTGTACTCTAATCATTGAGCATAACACATCTCAATGTCAATCAATTCATGCATCAGTTCTAGCTTCCTTTCTAGCATACATAAGTTCTCATAATTCCATGCAAAAAGCAATAGATTCTAACCTTGTCATTTATTAATGACTCATGAACGAAAAGGGTTTCGGTTATTACCTCTTCTCAAGAAGTCGTTGCCTTCTACTCTTGCAACGAATAGCTAGCACCACGCATAGCTCGCTTGTTTCTCGTCCAGCTTCTCTGCACAGCGCTTCGATGCAAGCACATAACAACTCGCCCCTCCTTGATTTATCATCGTTGATTATGACTTCCAGTTCTACCGACACATAATGATTGCAATTGCAAGTTGTGAGGGTCGTAGCTGTAGAAATCGAAGGTTGAAGTGTCTTTGCTGGCGACTTTGCGTTTCAACACTCCGCCAAGTAGGTGTTGCTAGGGTTAAACCCAACGCTTCGGTCATCCTTGTTGTTTTTGTTGATTGACGATCAGTGATACGTTCCCGTCCATGCTGAACGCTAGCTGAAGGCGAGAATTCGGCTGACCGGGCAGTCCAGTGAATTCCCGCGTCAGATGGCGGCACAAGAACAGAGGATAAAAATCTCGATCTCTTCCTTTCGCACAGCGGTCGACGGCAGAGACAACGAAGCTTGTACAGCCAAACCACCACCGCCACTAGGGATTTTGGAGATGCGGGAGACGGGAAGAGAAGAAACCTCGAACCCGAGGGAATCCCAGTTTAGTTCTTTCGATTCTTTGGCAGCGGGGCGGGTTTGGTGATCTACCGATCTTCTCTTTCTTTTTCCCGACGATAGTAATTGATCTAGCCAGTATCGGCATCCTGTTCGGTATATATTGACAGCAACCAAGCGTCTTAAAATTGTTACAAACCGAACAGAGAATTTAGGGTTACCGATATGGCTGAGTCGCGGACTAGGTCGCTCTCTTTAAGACGTTCGCGGCACTACCTCGTTATTCGCACAGCAGACTATAAGCCGGTCGCCTCCAGGATAAAACAGCCACTCTAATTTTGTTGTTCATTGGTTTTGTGCGAAAACCGGAGCTCTATAAACTCACTCTCTATCTCGTGTTTCTGCTCTCTGAGGTTTGTTTAGAGGGTCTGGGGCGTCTCCTATTTATAGGAGCAGAAAACCCAGAATATTCTCTCTTTCTTTGGGAATAAGTCATATTTTAATTAGGGAGATAATTACTCCCACAATTAAAATATAATCTATTAAGATAATTATTCCTAATTATCTCCATAATATTCCTTTTTATTAATTATTCATCTTATTTATGTATTATGGGAAAATACTGGATAATTAATTAGGAATTTCATTTATAGCTTTTCAAAGCTATTCATCCCAACAGCACCCGTACCTCTCTCATGCAACAGTGTTTCCAAAGTCGGTCACGAACAACCAGAGGCGGACCCATGTGGTAGAGAGGTGTGTCAAGCGACACACCTCCGCACGAATATTTTGTGAGAGACCCATGTTTTGTCGGTATAATTTTTTGGAATTTAGGACTTTCGACACACCTTGAATAATTGTTATTGACACACCTTTAATACACTACGATGAATTTAGTGTCATAAAGTTCCCAAAATCCGTAAATATATGTTATTTATTTTAAATTTTAGTTAACTTATGACAAATTTGGGGTTCTTTCCATTACTTAAGCATTTAGATGCAAGGGTTTATTGCTTATAGGTTTTAGGCATGAGTAATCGTAAGGAAGTTTTCTCTTTTTTCTCTCTACCTAAATAAGTTTCGTTTCTTCTTGATCCTTGTAGGTTTCACATAGTTGTCCACCTAGTGACAAAAAATACTCTTTCATCGAGAGTCTGGTTGCATATGGACTACTATCTTATAAAAAAAACTCCAATGTTCCCTTTGCCTCTTTCGATCCCACTTCTCGTTGTGTTACACAGTAAAATATAATTAAAATTTATTTATTATTTTATTCAATTTTATCAACTGACACACCTTTACGAGAATCCTGGGTCCGCCACTGCGAACAACGTGTAGTTCAGGACAGGATTGTGGCGGGCAAGATAGAATCTATTGTGAATGAGAGGAGAGGGTTAGAGCAATCTAAAGGAGGATTTCCTGAGTAAGCACGTTGCATGGAGGAGATTGCTCTGCTATCCACCGCCACAACCAACTCTTTTCGAAGAATAGGGCTGAGAGTATGAGCTTGGGGAAGGTGTTTTAAATAGCAAGAAGATACGTGTATCCCTCCCAACAAGTCCCGAACTACTTGCAGTAGGGCTCCTGGAGATTGCTTTGAATAAGGATTCGGTATCTGTTTACCCGGCGGCGGATATGGAGAGAGAAAAAAACCCCAACCCTCACCGCGTAATCAGGGAACATGATATCCCCGTAAACCCTAGCCCTGTCACACTGGTTGGACCAAACTCGTCATACTACAGTGCCATTCCCGGCGTCGAACAACCATGTATCGGTAATACGATAGTGCTCCCTGACGAGCCAGCACCGTCGGTGGCTTAATACCTGTCTCCGGGATGATTGAGTCCTCTATAATCAAGGGAGCTGTAATCGTCGAATTCCGACCGACTTTCAATAGATCCTGCCCTTGAAGGCTATCTTTTACCATAGGAATCTGGATTTCATCCAGCTGTAACAACCCGAGCTAGTTGGATGATGACGTGTAAAGGAGTGACGGATGTATAAATAGAAGAAACCTTCTGTAACTGGATATCTTTTGGCAAATGAATAAACAATAGATACTTTCTCTTCTTTCCTATTAGCGTTAGCTCTGTAGAACAACTCTGCACATTCCATTCTTTACCTCTTCCCTGTTCTTCCTCCATCCTTCCATTACTTCGCCAAATTCCACCAACGATCCTTACAAGTGGTATCAGAGCCTGTCATCTGGCAACAATGGCGTCTAATACATCGAGAATCATTGTTTTGGAAACTCAAATGGCGGCTATCAAGCAGCAGATGGACTCACGGCACCGGGATTTGAAGGCCGCCATTGCTGCTCTTGCGGATTCGACGAAGGCCTCCATCGATGCTCTTACTGATTCGTTGGAGCAACGGCGGGACGTTTCTAGGGTTCGTTCTCCATGGCACGCGTCTCCCAATCAGTTCGCTGATCCACAGCCGTTCATTCCGCCGCCGCGTCAATCGTTGATTCTGGATCCTCATGTGTGGGTTCCTTCTTCCACCGTCTCCGGGCAACTTGCCTCGATCGCCGACCACCAGGTTCCTTCTCCAACCTTCAATTTGGTTTCTCCCCTGTCTACATCAGCACCGAAATCCCTAATTCCTTCTGCTGTTTCTTCTCCGAGAATTCAAGACCCAAATCCCTCTTCTCCTGAACCACCGCCGTTTGCCTTGCCTTCTTTCCCACCATCTTTTGCTCTGTTGCCTTCTACTCCATCAGTTGTTGTATATCCAATTGATTCTTTTGCTACTCCTGTTGCTTCGTCAACCTCCAACCCTTCACATCCGTTTCCTCATAGTAGTGCAGCCATTAAGGAAATCAAGATTGAAACTCCCAAATCTTTCCCTCCTACGCTGCTTTCGTCTTTTTTCCTGCCTTCTCCACCACAAACGATTTCTACTCTTAAAATCCATTCATTACCCAACTGGGACATCCACACTTCATTCACTGGTGATCCTAATGACATATGTGCACAGAAGATTGAATCTTCAGTTTCGCGTGGGGCTAGCAGCATTTCTGGCAGCTGTGATAATTTTGCTATTCGGGTTTTTCCTACAGTGTTCAGTTCTGGATTCCAGGACTGCCATATTCCATTGATGCACTCTAAGTTGAATTACGGGGTTCGAATTTGTTGTGGTTATGGTGGGAACTGTGTAGCTCCTACAAGGAGAGAAAAATACCCTTTGTTCATGGTTCCATTCGTGGGTTGCAATATGGCGATCTTCAACTCCAGTGTCCAGTATGGGTTTCAGATTTTTCCAACATATTATGGGGTTCACCTGAATTCTCATACGGGATGCACTTATGCTGATTTTAAGGGCCCTTACAAGGATTATGAAGAGCATGTGGATGGTGTTGAGCACGTCAAGAGGAAACAAAATTGTGGGTTGAGTGAGCGAGATAATGGTTTGTTTGTTGAAAGCAGTGAACCTGTGAAGGATTGGGTCAGCAGGGTACGGAGAGAGGGGGTACATTGTGCTGCAGGAGAAGGTTGTGCTAAAGTTAGTCAGCAGGGTAATGTTGCAAATAAGAATGCAGGGTCTATTTCAATTGTTGAAAATGAGCGAACTTTAGCAGCAACAAAGCTAGCTAAGGAAAGAGTGGATCATACTGATCTCACTTTCTTTGCATACTTCCTTTGGAACTATTCTACAGTAATTAAGTTCGTAAAACCTCAAGAAAGACACTACAATTCTCATATCAGTACTGGGTTGCGGGAGTTGCAACGTCATTTCTACAGCGGCAGCATCGAGCAGCTTCCATTGAAGAAGAGGATCATGTTCTTGAAAATCTGACATGTGGGGCTCACTTTGTTGTAGTTAGCAGTACGGATTGCCATGGGTTGAGCAGTGATTTTGGGCTGCAGCCAACGCTAGACAAGAGTTTTGTGATCTTGGAGGAACATGTTTGCAGAGCTTGCAGTTTGTGGCTGTTGTTGCCCTCCGGCGTTCTTTGGGCTTGCTGATCATCTTACTTCCACAGTAGGGACTATTACTTTTTTGGGTCTAGCTCAAGTTCTCACTATTTCAATTGGAGCATTGGCGGAGCGAGTATTACAGCAGCAGCACTAGGTCCAATTCTTCACTAATAACATCGTATGAGCTCAGATCAGACAGCAGCAATATGAGTCTTGAACACAGCTTGAGCACTGCATCCTACTTTTCCAGCTTGATTACAGCTTGAGGACAAGCTGTCTCTGAAGAGGGAGGGTTTGTAACAACCCGAGCTAGTTGGATGATGACGTGTAAAGGAGTGACGGATGTATAAATAGAAGAAACCTTCTGTAACTGGATATCTTTTGGCAAATGAATAAACAATAGATACTTTCTCTTCTTTCCTATTAGCGTTAGCTCTGTAGAACAACTCTGCACATTCCATTCTTTACCTCTTCCCTGTTCTTCCTCCATCCTTCCATTACTTCGCCAGATTCCACCAACGATCCTTACACCAGCCCGTCATTTTCCATTTCCGTCGACGAAGGTAGCCGGAATCGCCAAACTTCCTTTCGCGACGTGCACAAACGTTTAGGTTTAATAAAACCTGGTGCGACTTCGTTGGCTAGGAGCTTCCCTAGATTCCTTTTATCCATCCAATTTGTGGATCTTTTTCTAACCAAGTCATTACTTGACGAAACTTGGCCGTCATCATGGCTTTGCCGGTGAGTCGTTGGAGGCATAACCTTCTGGCCGTCATCGTCAGAGTCTATATCACCACTCTAACCATCGTGTCCTTCCCCTCGCCCAAGCATCCCAGTCTCCCTCTAATTGATAAGGCTAACATCGAGCACTGTCTTAGCCATAGCGAACAGGAGTCGCCCTAGCAAAAAGCAAAGGCGGAGGAGAGAGAGGAGAGCTCCTCTCATTTTTTTTCTTACCCAGCAAATGATATTCACTGTAGCTTAATGGTTTTAGATCATCTCCGATAAGAAATCCTCCATTAATATATGGTAGAGTTTTGTGTAATTTTCTCCATTTCAAATTTTCTGCAACGAGAGTGAAAGTAGGAAGGACATTTTTGTCTTTACAATTAATGATTTATTTCAAATAAAAAATATCAACATCAAGATTTGAACCCGGGTCTATTCAAAAGAAGACAACGATTATAACCAATTACACTAAACAAATTTGTTGTTTTTATTTGAATACAAAACATACACTAAGTTAAACTCTGGAAAGTGAATGACTTTTACATCATGATCAACAAGCCCACTAAGTCTACCGTATATATTTTTATGGTGCTTAATACTTCAATGTCCATAGTAGAGTTTCATGTAATTTTATCCATTTTAAAATTCATGCTCTACTTAATTTTCGTTTAGGCACATTTGTAATTGGCTAATATGGAAGAAACTATTTCTTTTCTACGTGTTGTGTCATTGCATTTTTCAATTTAAATTTAAATTTTGTGCTTTTTTATCTTTGTTCTTATCTCTTTATAATTTACTTCGAAAGTCCCTCCATCGTGCAATAATTTGGCCCTTTCACTTTCGAGTACAAGGGCGCATTTGAAAATTAATCTTCTGGTTTCTCTTGGCAGGATAGTTTTATTTTGGGGATTTAAGTTGCGCAAATAGAAAATTTCAAATCCAATATCAATCCATGACGAATAGAATGAAGTTCAATCAAGTAGTTATGAATTTGAACTTGGATTAGAAGAGTTGGAATTGAGTTTGAGAATGAAAGTGGTGGAGGGAAGAAATTGTGTTTGGATTTAGTAACGGGTAAAGTTCCACTGCAGCAGGTGAAGGCAGAGAAGAGGGAGTTGGAGAGGGTAGTGAATGAACTTAGGAGAGTGTTGAAAGACATGGAAGCGAAACTGGAGCAGTTAACGAGAGAGAAGTGACAGATGATGAGGATATTAATGAAAATGGAGAGGTTATTGAAGGGCAAGGAAGTGGACTGAAGCGGGTGAAGGCAGACAAGGGGGAGATGAACATATTGATGGAACAAGAGATGAGTGTTGGTTTTAGCGAACTTATTACAACTGCCCCGAGGAAGATGAGTTACAAAACACAAGAAGAAGATTGAGGAGTTGAAGAGCGAGTTGACAAGAACCCCAATTGGAAGAGAAATTGAGGGTCACGGAGAGAAGGTCCATCAAAGTAGCAGAAATGGAATTGTTTGGTTGGAACATATGCCTCTTGAGATTAAAGATAGAGTGGATAAAAATTTGGTCGTTCAACGGAGAGTGGTGGCTATTGGCTCTTTAGGTTTATGGTTTTTGCAGCTACCACATCCTATTTCTATCTTAAAACGAGAAATAATTGATTGATTTACTGAATTAGGTCGATTCTTTATTCAACCTACTGAAACTGATAGAAAATGAGTGTCTAATTTTGTGTCTTATGACTTTGATCAAGTCTATTAGTATATTGGAGGTAACCCTAATTTTGTCGTTTGCTCTCAAGTTTTGATGGTTCCCTCTTAGTTAAGTTTGTAGTATATAGTATACTTGAACCAATAACTCTCGATTTTTTTTTTATTAGTGGCATGTTGTTCCTAAAAGGAGAGCAATGCAGCCTTTATGTAGGATTGTGAGGTTTTAGATTCAGTTTCAAACTATATATGGGTCGTGTGGTAATTCCATTGAGCTTTTATATTCTATTTTTATCAACTAATAATATTATCATTATGAAAATGAAATCAATTATAAATTTTTTTATTTTATATTCTTAAATGATGTTGGTATTTCTTCGAGTTTCGACCTATATATAATTAAACCATTTAAACGGGTTGATAGACTTAAACTTAACGTAAAATTATAAATAATCAAATATAAACGTTCCGGCCAACGAGCCGGGTTATAAGCTAGTTGGAAAAATGTTAGAAGGTCAAATAGTTTTGGCATTTTGGCACTCCAAAAGAGGTTTTTGCTCCAACAAGCAATGCCAAAATGCTATATGTCAAAACTTCCCTTTTTGTGATAATTTAGTTTAGTATGTAGATTTCATCATTTGAATTAGATAGTTTGTAGATTATTTGTATACAGGCAATAATAATTAATTAAAATGAATTTTTTGATAATGTTCTTTTAAGTTTCAACATAAAAATTATTGTTATATATGATGTTATTAATGAAAAAATCACAATAATTTGATGAGAATGAGAGAAGAAATTTGAATGATGAAGTTGAACCGAAGAAACATAGTGTATTTATAGAGAAAGTTGAGAAAAAGATCTAATGAAGGCTAATAGAGTCATTGGAATTGAATTCAATGACCGAAACATAAATTTTTTTCGTTGTTTTTTTTTTTGTTTCCAACGGCTATAAGAGAAAAGGGGGGCCAGATTCAAGAAAAAAGGAGGTGCCGCTGGGTAGGGGTGGGTATTGGTTTGACCAAACCGCTCCAAACCGCTTGTGCGGTCAATCCAAACCGCACCATTAAGTTAGCGGTTTCATTTGCGGTTTAATCGATAAGCGGTTAGCGGTTCGCGGTTTGGGTTGACCGAAACCGCACGATAGCGGTTCAAAACCGCAAACTGTTAATTCCTAATCAATCACCACGATTCGAGCAGATTTGCGGAGATCCAGATCCATCACCCATACGCATCTTCTCACCACACGGCGAGCTATCCTCACGGCGGCGGCAGCGGCAGATCCGACCATTCTCTCGCTACCCGTTCTTCCGCCTTCGACCTTCTCCAGCATCTTGGTCTACCCTATTCTCGGCGAGCTATCCTCACGGCGGCGGCAGCGGCAGATCCATCACCCATATGATGGCAGACTTTCAAAAACACAGTATCGGCGACGACGCTTTATAGATCGAAGGCATCTCAATCTATCCTATTATCGGAGCTACGGTGCTTTGGCGGATCGAAGGCCTCCCCGACTTCCCGTAGCCGGACGTCCAGTTTCTCAGAAGCTGGTACTCTCTCCCTCCCTCCTCAACCTTAGCTCTCCCCGTTGTGTTCAGTTGTGTTCCCGTCGCACCTCTGCCAAGAGGCGACCACCCACCGAGCCCTTTGCCCCTTCGTGGGTTTTATACTACGAATAGATACTAGATATTAGGTATGCTTGGTGGGTTTATTAGAGTCATTGGGTATGGATCTAGGGTTGTTGATCTAGGGTAGTCTGGAATCTCTTTACTCTTTTCTCCTGATTCGTCTTGAATGGTGTCTTTGGTATCAATTCAAATGCAAGTGCGAAGTGACCTGTTAGAGAAGGAAGTTGCATACAAGTTTGGTTAGATACCAGGCAGGAGTGCTAGCATGTTTAGTCCATTATTGTAGCTTATTCTTGATTTTGTCGTTTGGAATTTAACTCAGCTACAAAAATAGGTAACAGGAACATAAAACTGTGTGTTCGCAGCCATAGCAATTAGTTTGAAAGAGTGCAAAAACGGGTAGCAGAAAGGGAAAGGGTACTGTCAACTAGGCAGTAGAAACCCCAGGCTCATATTGTAGGTTTTCCAAGGTGGAAACTTGAGAATGATGGATCTCACCATGAAAATGAGTCGAGGTTTGGCTTTCAGATTCAGTTTGGGATTCCTGATCATAAGCTATTCTTGATTGTGATGATGTTTGGCAAATAATGTCCGAAGTCGTGTTCCCATTAACGTTTCGTTACTCCTAATATTGTGCAAAGTCTTGCTGCTAGCAAAACCATGGTTAGGGGGAAGGTGCTGATAGCTTGTATCAGAGCAACGGATATTTAGATTAGTGTTAATGACAGTTCAATGTTCTAACTGTTTTATTTCATATGCTTGCAGGGCAAAATGAAATCAAAAGGCTCAAAGGGAAAACGAGCTCAAGCACCGATATCTAGCAGCAATGTGCTTAATGTCAGTGAGGTGAGTCATCAGCTGTTTTTTTCTGTGTGATTTTAGGGCGTCTCCCCAAGTCCAGTGTAGGCTCTGTAGCTAGTCTCTGCTGTGTTCGCTAATCGAATCCCTCATTTTGTTGTCGTAGCTACTGAGTTTTGATTGTTAGGTTATGGAAGGAATCACAGTTTTTTTTTTTGTACGATTCAATCTGGTACGAAACGAATTGTTTGTACACCCTTATCTTGCACTGATGAGCTTGAGCTAACAATGATGCCCATTTGACACAGCAAAATTCATGAGCTGGACAAATGTTGATTAGGTAGAGTTAAGCATAACAGTAAACCATCCCAGATTGATTTAAGACATCTAAGTAAACCATTACAGAAGAGGGCAGAGCACAATTATGATTTATGTTGTTGTTATTACTATTATTCTAGTCTGGGTCCAAAAGGAACCAAGCCACCACAGAGAATTGAAACAGTCCAAAACAATGAGCTAGCGCCATATGATGTTCTAGCTAGATATGCCAACCCTTTTTTTTTATCTCTGAACCAGAAGCAGCTTAGCCATTCCCAATAATTATAGGGCTAGAGTAGCTTTCTTTGCATTAAAATCCGTGGGGGTTGTGTCATTAAAATTTAGCTTTGAGCAATCCATTCCCAAAAAGCAGGACCACCCTTTTCTTGCTGCTGCCAGAAAAGCCTTCAATTTGGCGCATATCGTATCTGTTATGTTCTGTATTGTTGTGCTTCAATTCCATTATCCATTTCCATTTCCTTTATCCATTTCTCCTTTATGAACCCCTTTGCAAAGCTAGCTTTTTTGCATTTATGGAACCTTCATACTATTATGCCCCCCCCCCCCCCCAAACTTGCTAATTTTATGCTAGTTTGTAAGTTGTGATTCCACATTCAATCATGAATCTGCATGCACATGTGAACTTCTGTATTGTAAGTTTAAGAGTATTTGGACTGATGTATGTTTCTCCGCACTAATGTATCCAACTTTACTCTATTATTGTTTAGGCTGAGTGTGATGATGTTGGAATGGATTCCTCAAGTGGGGAAGAGATGGAAATCGAAAATGATGCAAGTACGAGCAAGGTGGCTGCTAGTGATCATATTGGTTCAGCTTCGACTCATATTGAGTCACCAATGCCAAAAGGGAGGCGGCTTAGATCAAAAGTTTGGGTCCAATTCAGGAGGTATAAGAAAGACGGCTTATTCAAGGCATCATGCATCAAATGCGGGAAGACTTATGCATCTAAATCACATACAAATGGAACTAGTGCACTCCGCCATCATATGAGTAAACCGTGCGGTGATGGAAAAGGTACGGCACAACAACTATTGAATACTATTAGAGGTGAATTAGATGAGGGGGATGGATCTGTGTTAGGGAGTTGGAAGTTTGTTCAAGCAGCTATAAGGAAAGGATTGACTTATATGAACATTGTGGATGAATTGCCTTTCCGATTTGTTGAATATTTGGGTTTCAAATACTTTATGTCACTTGCTTGTCCTAGATTCTGCATACCTTCTAGAAGAACAGTGACTAGTGGTTGTTGGAATTTTTATCTTGAGTTGAAACAAAAGTTGAAGGATGTCTTTAGCAACTGTGAAGGTAGAGTCTGTCTGACTACAGATTCATGGACTTCCAACAAACAATTGAACTTCATGTGTGTGACAGCTCATTTTATTGATAGAAATTGGATATTAAGGAAAAGGATAATTGGTTTTCGCCAAATCTTTAGTCATAAGGGGGTGGATATTGCAAGTGCAATTATGTCTTGTTTGGATGAATGGGGAATAGATAAAATTTTCACTATCACCGTTGACAACGCTAGTTCAAATGATACTGCAATAGAAGAATTGAAGAGCATATTTGATGATAGAAAGATTGGCATGTGTGATGGCAAATTTCTTCACATTAGGTGTGTGGCTCATATAATGAATCTAGTTGTGACGGATGGATTATCTGAGATATCTGTGGCTGTAAAAAGAATCAGAGAGGCAGTAAGATTTGTTAGGCAGTCACCTGCAAGAATTCAGAAGTTCAATAATTTTGTTGCTCTTGATAATACAAGCAAGAGTGGGTTGTGTCTTGACGTTCCGACGAGGTGGAACTCAACCTATTTGATGTTGCAATCGGCTATGAAGCATGAGCATGCTTTTAATCTTTATCGATTGTCAGATAAGCAATTTCAAAATGAACTTGAAATGAAGAGTGGAGTACCTGATAGCTACGATTGGGATAGTGCTAGAAGAATGATGAAGTTCTTGGAACAGTTTTATCAGTTCACCTTAAAAGTTTCCGGTTCACAGTATATCACCTCCAACTTATTCTTTCCTGCAGTTGGGAACTTATATCGTTTGTTGAGGAATTGGGTAATTCCAGACAAGGAGGATTACCAATTAAGTTTCATGGCAACAAAGATGAAACAAAAATATGATAAATATTGGGGAGCTGTAGATAAGATGAACAAGTTATTGTATATAGCTGCCGTGTTAGATCCAAGGCTGAAGTTGCAGTTTATTGGTTTCACACTGAAGTGGATGTATGATGATGAGAAAGCAGTTTCTGCTTTGACAGAAGACGTTGAGCTTGCTACTTACGAGTTATATGCTCATTATGAGAATCAAATGGAAGTAGGTGAAGGTTCATCCTCCTCTCAAACAGAATTAGATGACGATGGTGGGAATGTGGATTTAGTTGCCGAGTATATGAAGCAATTGCAAAAAGAGAGAGGTGTAGTGAACAAAACTGAGTTGGATAGGTATTTGAAGGAGGATGTTGAAAAATCAATGGATCCCAAGTTTAATGTGCTAGGATGGTGGAAAGTAAACAGTCACAGGTTTCCAACTTTGTCTCGGATGGCAAAGGATGTCTTGGCTGTCCCTATTTCTACAGTTTCATCCGAAGCAGCTTTTAGCACTGGAGGTAGAGTGCTGAATGATTTTAGAAGCTCTTTGACTCCTAGGATTGTTGAGGCTCTTATTTGTACTCAGGATTGGCTCCGAGCAGACTCTAGTCTGTGTCTAGTTGAAGAAGATTCAGTGGAGATTGTTAATATCGATGAAGGTGAGTAACCTAGAAAAGGCTATTGTTTGTTTACAATATACGTTTTATCTCGTAGTTAAACTCTCTTTTTATGAATTTAAGAGTTGAGCATGGTGATGAAGGCTATTGGCATCTCCGATGTTCCACTTCCTCATATCAATACTCCTCGTATGAGTCCTAATGTAGAGGCAAGCACAAACACAAAAGGTAGCATATGAACCTTACCAAAATAGGAAAATGAAGTTTTATTTTTGTTTATAGTTGGTGCTGTAAAGTTATCCTCTTCATTCAGTATTTAGTTGTTCATTCATTAGTGTCTTACTGGTTCGATTGTATCGTTAATCTTTTGTTTCAACTTGGCAAATTTGTAGGGTGATGGAGACAGTGCTCTAGACATGCTGTGGCAAAAGAAGCTATGCCAGAAGAAGGGGAATTAGTTGCATGTTGCTGGTTTTTGTGTGGATGGAATTTTTGTGTTGGACTAGCAAGTAGGGGAATTGTAGACAAGGTCCTAGAAAGCCAAATTTGGCAGTAGTTATTTATGAATCTTCTGTTATCTCAGATTCTTAGAGTGGTACTTGTAGGAGTAATGGTTCAGTCGCCGTGGATGAATCGGTATGATTACAGTAGCTGGTTCTGATTCTGCCTCAATATCTTGGATCCTTGCTATTGTTAGATCCATTATGGTCAAGGTAGCAGGTTCTGATTCTGCCTAGAAGTTGAAGACATGCTTCCCTTGGTGCCCTTTCTGGATGAGTCGGTTTTCTTTCATTGAGAAGCATTGTGGAACTTGATTATGTATTAATCTTACCTCTCAGATCATTGATGGACAGGAGTAGTTTGGAAAGCAATCTCATTGAAGAAAGAATAGCACCTTAACTCGTTCATTCCCCCATGGCTATATGATGTCTACTGGAAATAAAAAGAGAAGAGACCCGCCCCAAAACCTTCCCCTGCTATATATACACGAAAAAGGGATACAAAAAGCAATACATACTGCTTCTGCAAACAGTGATGGATACAGAGTCATGTTGTTTAATAAATTACAAATCATATTGAATTGCGGTCAAAATGCGGTGCGGTCTAAACCGTACCAAACCACTAATTTATGCGGTTTGGTTTGACCGCACCGATAACTTAGCGGTCGAACATGCGGCGCGATCCAATTAAGATGCGGTGCGGTTTATATGAATGCGGTGCGATGCGGTCCGAACCGCACCGATACCCACCCCTACCGCTGGGAAAGAGAATTTGACAATTTTTGTCTTTTCTAGTGGGTATTTGGTATAAAATTTTAAATTTACCAATTTAGCTTTTTAGGATTTCCCAATTATTGTTGGAGGAGGTGTTTTAGCATTTTTGGAAAGTTGGCTTGCTTGTTGGAGATGTTCTTAACTGGCCTTTTTCTTACTTCTCCCTCTATCTTTAATGGGACTATCAGATTAGAGCTTTTAAAATGAAGAGTTTTTTGCAAGGGTGTGATTTAGGGATGGCAATGGGTCGGGTCGGGGCGGATAGTGCATATCCGTTACCCTATCCAATGTAGTTAGGGTTTTACCCATACCCGTACCCATACGAGAAATGGGTAGAAAATCAAAACCATGCCCATACCCGTTCGGATTTCGGGTATCCACGGTTATCCATGGGTAATAATTTCTCCTTATAATTTCAACCAATATGTTAACATTCACACGTATACTCACATGACGTAAGAGGAAAAGTACGACAATAATTCACTAGAATGACGAAAATTAATTAAAACAACATAATTTCATGAAAATATTATATTTATATGCTAAATATAAAATATTCTAGAGAAAAATAATGATTATTTCTAGACAAAATACATATGCATGTGTATAATCGGGCGGGTTCGGGTTGGATAGTGAGATAACCATGCCCACCCATTACCCGCAACATTCGGGTTCGGGTTTTACCCATACCCACGTAAAATGCTTCGGGTTCGGGTTTTACCCTACCCGATTAGGTCGGATTCGGGTGGATATCCACGGCTACGGATATTTTTGCCATCCCTAGTGTGATTTGTGGGAGTTAGGGAAAAGAATGGTGTTTTTTATATTTCTTAATGTGTGTGGATGTTATTCTCGACATATCTGGATTTATCTTCTGAAAACAAAAGTGGCAAAGTGGAAAACAATGTGCATTATTTTATATAGGCCCCACCAACAATCACAAAAATTGATGCACTATACAATCCCAAGTAAAAGTTGAGATTGTTGTGATTGTTGCTTTTAGATTTGTGTCCACATTTTCTTTTCATTTATGTCCCTAATAGTTTGTGCTTTGTACTAAAAGTTGAGGGTAAATGTGAATTTCTCCATAAAGTAACTTTATGCAAATCAATACATAAATTATAATATAACAACCAAACAATGTATTGTTAAAATGCATCCAATATATGTATTTATTATAGTAATTAATTCATTACAATACAAAACAACCCTCATTCAAATCAAAATTATTAGGACAGATAATGAACTAAGAGTTCAACATACCATAGATTTTGGATCTCTAAGAATATTAATTTATCAGACAACTTGAGTAAAGACTGCAGTTGAAGGCCATTTTAAGTATTCTTAAAACTAATGAGTCTCTGACCATTATCGGTGGTAGTCAAAATGATTGATCTATTCTGGTCGAGTTATGCGTTTTTCAGATTGGCTAATGTTGCTACTTGGTATTAAGGTAAGGATCGATATTTTCCGGCAGTTATTTGGCAATTAACTATCAACATATTAGAACAATTTGGGGAGTAGTTGCATGCATAATTAAGCATATATAATATAACCATGCATAACTCTAAAGTTATTATTTATAAAAGGTTAGTAATTTTCTCTCAATAAAATTTAATGGATTATATCTCTTCATTGTAAGTCAAAACTAAAAAAACAATTACAAAGAAAAATTATATTAATTGTGCTCTTCTAAATGTCATCTACTTTTATATATTTTGGAATAAAAAATGAGACTTTTATTAGTAGTCCATACCATGTGATACTATTTTGTAAGTACATAAGATTATAATATTTAGTTTGGTAGTGTATCACTATGGTATGAACACCCCAAAGTTTTTCATGGTGGTAACTGGTGGTTTACGTTGACGAAAGCTTGTAAATGATGGTTAATGCATGATAGTATTAGGGTGGTATAGGCTGGCATTTTTTGTTCTGTAAATTTTTTCCATAAATTTGTAGATCTAATAGATCACAATGTACTAGCTTCATATGAGCAAAATATTTCAAAATTTGAGTAAAGAAGAAAGACGGTACCAAGCGATACCACATGGTAACAAGTGGTATTGGTGATAATAAAAAAATATTCTCGAAATATATTGAAAATGTATATTATTTGTGGGCCACAACGAAGTCATTCGATTTATGTACAACTTTTGAAATTCAAATTAAAACGAAGAAATAAAAGCCGATTAAGAAAAATAGGAAAATAATAAAGACTAATTCTCATTTCAAAATCTGGCCCCACTTAAAACTAAGGGTCAACATCTGGTAATACAAGTGTGCATAACCAAGGGTTATATACCTATTTTGAACCAACTATTCGTGTTAAATTTATATTCAGATTCTATGATGTATTATGAATTTTGCGGTTAGCCTAATAATACAATTTACCATTTAGGCATTTATCATTCGCTCTCTCACCTAACATCCTAACCATTTGAAACGTGACATCTTAAGGGTCTTCCATTTCAACAGCTAACACATATATATATATAATCTAATTAATTAGAAACATACTACATAACAAAAACGTTTCATATATGTGAAATCTCTCTTCCTAGACTAGAGATACTACAAAATTGTTTCTTCACGTTGGCTTCTCCCTACAACACAACCGGAAAATTCCTAAATATTGCATCTCCTACGCTATATGATTTGTGAATTAATTAGAGGTTATTAATTGATTGTAGAATATGGTCTCTTTCTTTTGGGGCTATAAAAGATATTAGAGAGCTTCATTAATCTTACCAATTATCACTTTGCATGCTAAGATGTCTTGCTTCTCTTTCTTCTCCCTTCTTCCATTGTTGTTACTCCAAACCTCCATAGCCACAGTAGCCCATCAAGACGATCTTCCAAACCTAACACTGTATTCCAAGTAACCAAACCCATCGACGTCCCTAATACCGTGCCTTGCAAGCAACTCCTCCTCGAACACGATTTCGGCTCTACCATGGGAAAACCCCCGGTCGTAGTAGACTACAATGGCCCTCCTTCCCACTGTGCTTCGTACAATTTCTCCAAGATCGTCTTAGAATGGAGGGGAACCTGCAACGGAACACAAGGACACACCATTTTCGGAGTATGGCTAGACGGGGTGGAGCTCATCAGGAGCTCCCCTGCCCAAACACCGGGGCTCAATGTATCGACTGCGTGGACTGCACGAAAAGATATCACCAGGTACTCTTCCTTGTTACTCAAGAAAGAGACTCAAAAGCTTGCGGTCTTCCTTCGCAACGTGGTTTATAGTGTGTTTACCGGAGTGTATCACATCACAATCGGCGTCTCATTTTACCCTAGCCACAATCCAAAGATAATTACTGATAATTCGGGTTTCGAATTTGTGTCCAACAATATTGCTGATTTGATCCTACCCATTTCTCGAAACGTCGAATCAAAAGATGGTTTGTGGTTTCCAATTGAGAACTCTGCTGATGAGAAGCAAATCAAGGAGTTCAAAATTCCTCAGAACGCTTACAGGGCTGTGTTGGAGGTTAATGTATCGCCCATCGATATCGATGATGTCAAGAACCAGTTGATCCCAATAACTCGAGTTGTTGGGAGAGGTTCAATCGTGGATCATATACCACAACACTAACACGCCCCCTCAAACGAAAGCCACTCACAAAGGCTTGTAGTTTGCACAGGTCTGAAGACAAGAATACCATGTGCTTAACAAATGGGGGTCACCGGGAATCGAACACAAGACCTCTCGGTCACAGAAGGCTCTGATACCATGTCAAGAACCAGTTGATCCCAATAACTCGAGTTGTTGGGAGAGGTTCAATCGTGGATCATATACCACAACACTAACAGATGAAACGTGGTGGTCAAGTTACCCAGCCGGGTTCTATAGTTTCAATCACAAACTTCTCGGTGGTCACGCAGACGGACCTTTCAGAGATGTGGTGATCCGTCTGGACGATGTCGTGGTGGGCGAGATCTGGCCTTACCCGGTGATTTTCGGCGCAGGGAACGATATGTGGAATCCTGTTGCCAGCATTGGCTGCTTCGATCTGCCATCCTACGACATCGAATTGACTCCCTTCCTCGGGACTCTGCTCAATGGAGGGATTCACAATCTGAGTTTCGGCATAGGGAATGCCGTCAGTGTATGGTACATAGATGCCAACTTGCACATATGGTTGGACCACCAGAGCAGCAAAACAACAGGGGAACACGTATCGAGCAACACCGAACCACTGCATCTCTCATCGACTCTGGCGATGAAGGGGCTAGTCATGGAATCGCGAGTCGAGGCACAGAGGATGATATCCTCACAAGGATGGGTACAATCCTCGCACGGAAAAATTACTAGTCATGTCAAACAAATATTGCATTTCACTAACTACATGTACATGGCATTCGACTGTGTGGAACTACAGCAGCAGAGTAGAACAGTTCATTCTTTCGAACGATAGCATTTCGTTCGTCAAGAACTCCAGTACTGTTCCTAACTTCCTTTCGTTCGACTCGGTGAAGAAGTTTACCCTATCGAACAAGGACGAAATGGTACCATCGTCGACTGGAGGTGACGGAAATGATGTTCAGCGAACAGATATCGAAACAGGGTACGACGACGAGAAGACGTGTAACGACTTTGAATCTGGAGCTGTGATGACAACCAGCTTGAAAGATCAGCAGATTGGCAATGGCGTTTGGATTGTCAAGAACTTTTCGTGGCTAGATGAAGTACTGGATATGAAGCAATTATACAACTACAAGAATGTTGGTGACAATAGCAAGGTATGTTATTTGAGGAGCATTGCCACCTCAAACGCCACCATCGTTTATGACAAGGAAGATGTTAAGTGCTAAATTATTTGCTTTTCTATTATAACGAATAATAGTTCAATTGTAAGCCTACTAAATTTACAATAAAGTTGTTTTAACAACCAGGGGCGGACGCACGGAGGTTTAGGGGTGTCCCGGGACACCCCTAAATTTTGGGGAAACGATTATTCAACTCACGGTAGTAATTTACATATGAGTAAAAAATTTATAATTGGTAATGAGGGACACCGCTGAAATTAGAAAAAATGATTATTCTAATGTCATTTTTTAAATTTGTGTATGGGAATATAAGTGATAGGTTGGGTAATTCAAACCTAGAGCACTATTATTATTAACAAATTTAATTTCCATTAAACTACAACACATTTGTTGTTTGATTTTGAACACTGTATCATAGTAAAATGTCACTCCCTATTTCTAATTATTTTCAAAACATAGCAATTAAACTAATTTCAACCTGCCCTTAATTTGTATTGATTTTATGGTTGTACGATAAGTGTTGAAAGATTCTTTCAGCTTTGGGTTACATCAAAAACAAGTTTACAAATCTAATATGCGATAAGTTTGTGAATGATTGTGTAGTAGAGTATATAGAGACAATATTTTTAACACTGTAAACACCAAGTGTATTCTACTATTATTTCAGAATATGAGAACACATAATGGACTTTTTTAACCTATACGAGTAAGGTATTTTCTACTTTACAATTTTATTTTTATTTAATTTTTTTATTTTTATTTTTACTAAATTTATTTTTTAAAAGAGGACACCCCTATGAAAAATTCTTGAGTCCGCCACTGTTCACAACATAATGATAAAACAGTTTTCGTTTACAATATTTTTTTTGCCCCTTTGGGGTCGTAATCGCTTTAAGTTCTGTAAATGTCAACAAATCTATTATACTCTTCATCTCACGTAAGTTTGCAATAATATTTAGGCTTTATCTTAGTTTACCTTTTTTTAGGCTCTTACTCGAAGAATGGTAGGCTCTCTTTTAGACACACCTTTTACCAGCATTCTGTCCAAGGGTCACGAGTAGCAATCCATAGAGAGAGGAGATGAAGCTCTACTAGAGTTCGACAAGGATGATTCACAATCGATGTTCTTCATCATTGGTGATGTTCCTACTCTCATTTGTGGTGCTAGTTGATTTGCTGAGGGATGTGATTCGATCATGTTTGTGTAGCACATTCTATGATTTAATGAGATGCTTATTGTGCTCAGTGATCTTATCATTAATTCTTGAGTTGATTTATGCTTGTATCATCTATTACTTTAAATTTTCTATGCTTATTCTTCGTATACTTTAGAACATCGATGCTTATGGTTTTATTATGTGTTATTGTATGCATTGTTTATGCTACCATCATGGGAAACAAGAAAACTTAACTCGTATAGTAGGCATCATCATTAGGTGATGCTTGATTCTTAGATCATCAATGTTATAGACCATCCAGTATGGCTTTAAGAGGCACACACTTAATCATGTGCTATCCTGACTGTATTGTTCTTCATTGATTAGGTAATTGCATGAAGCGATAACATAGATATACAAAAATTCCATGTGGAGGTGTGTCGGCCGACACTCCTCATTACTACCTGGGTCCGTCACTGAGTATGTGACATATACTCGCTAGCTTGTGGGAGACTGTCAAACCCCATGAATGAAGATGAGAAGGCCGACACTCCTCATTACTACCTGGGTCCGTCCCTGAGTATGTGACATATACTCGCCAGCTTGTGGGAGACTGTCAAACCCCATGAATGAAGATGAGAAGAGTGAAAAAGATGATAGACAACTCCAATTGCAACAATACAACTCTCCTAATGATGAAGAAAAGGATCGACAAAGCAGGATCGAACCCTGGCCATTTCGATTGCTGCTGCAACGAAGAAGGAAAAACGACAGACCAGCTGCTTGTGATTTGTAAGAAACAATTTCATCATCAAACATTGCCTTTTCCTTCTATTATTCTCACGTTGAATGATCGGGTTGCTCTTTGCTTGAGCAATGAGCAGTTGAGCACCATATGACTCCCAATGCTACCAATTCCATTAGCTTGTCCTTTATCAAATGCCATCTTTCCGAACCTGCTCTGAGACCCAACCATAAACATCTATTTTGTTTATTCACCAGCTTGCCTCTCTTGTTCTTCATCCGTCAAGGCCGCCAATTCTTCTTCCTTTGCACACTGGAATCACCAAGGCTGTCAAACCAATTTAAGTCAGTGAACTGATCAAGTAAGGAGTTTGAGGTTTAATGATCTGATTGGGGTCCGGCCGGTTTAAGCTATTTTAGACGTTTTCTAAATATCTATACAAATAAGGTAGTAATTAAATATTTAATCACTGAAATATAATTTATCTTACATATATCTATTAAAAACTTATATTCCACAAAAATAAATTTACCTAACTTTCATGACCCACTCACTACATCTCTTTCTTCGTTCCTCTTTCTCTCTTCCCCCTCTCTTCTTCTCCCTCTTTAGGGATCAGACCGGGAGGCTTTCTGGAGGCCGTTTTAAAACTCGACTCCGGTCGGACCGGATCCAACCGGGGTTTTGATAAGGGTTTAACAACCTTGGGAATCACACTTCAATCCTCTCTTGTCAAAACTACATTGTAATCAATGGCCTTTACCAAATTAGATTTGTGATTAGTTTCGTCAAATAAAATTTGTCTAAAATATTATTGCATTAACAAAATATATAGTGGAGTAGAGGTGGAAAATGTATTGGATTCATGGATTGGTGGATTAGATTGGATGATTCATGGATCATATGGATTGAAGGATTCATGGATTGATCCATGAATCCAAATAAAAGCCTAGTCTTAGACCAATATATAAATTGTGAAAAGTTTAGTTGCTAAAATGTCATAATGAAAAATTGTAGTACCAAAATGTAATTTTTCAATGATATTTTCATATGAAATTTAAAATTTAGATACCAAAATGTAAAATATAAAAATTTATAGGTACTAGAATATAATTTATAAACAATTCATGAATCCAATCTAATTGGATTTGGATCAAATGAGTTGAATTAATTGGATATTTAAGTCAAAGAATTGGATTGGATTTAATTGGTGGATTGGATGGAAGTCACCACGTCCTCTATAGTGTAGTATCAACAGATTGTGAGTTTGAACCCTCCAAAAGCTGATGTGATATGGATGCTTAAACTTCAATTCGTTAAGCCTAATTTGATTAACTGGAACAAAAGGAATATGATAAGCAACATGGGCCTCATGCAGCCCAGTGGAGAAACTGATGTAGCTACTGGGCTGGAAGACTTCCACAGAGCCCACATTAAAGCGTAGGTAGCAACGGAGATTCAGCCTCAACGAAATCACGTGACTTTATTTTTTGACAAAATCACGTACTTGTATTTGTTAAGAATGGGTAAAATTAATTAAGGCTAGTGGAATTCGGAGGATAGAAATTTATTAATTCAAATAATTTTAATTTGTATTAATATTCGAGACTAAAAACTTTAAATCTTTAATAAACAAGAATGTCAATTATATGCTAAAAAGAGAGAATATATATCTTGAAATGTTGAGTTTATTTTTTATTTATATCAAATAGTCACAATTATCAAACAATTTATGTGTCCCAACGACATATCACGGGAAACATTATCATCTTGTAAGAGATAGTGCATTTGTGCGCCTAAAGAAAGAAAGAAATAAGGTTGATGTGGTTGTTGTTCTTGAAACTCGTATAAAAGCAGAAAAAGCTAAAGAGGCGGTTGAAGAGGTGTTTGCAGGTTGGGAGAGATGTATTGATTGTGTTGATTCAAACTTAGGCCGAGTTTGGTTATTCTGGGTTCCAAAGGTTAGAGTTCAAGTGCTTAAACCAGGGAAAAACTTTGTTCACTGCTTGGTGGAGGATGTTAACAAGGACAGTTTTTTTATGACCGCTGTGTATGCTTCAAATGATGAATCTGAACGTCAAGCAACAAATAAAGAGATAGCTAAATACAAGGTTGCAGGTTATCTGCGGATTATTGGTGGGGATTTCAACACGGTACGTGTTCCTGAGGAGACATAGAATCAAAGGAATCCTACTGCAAGTATGGTAGACTTCAACTCTTGAATTGGAGATATGGAGTTACTGGATTACAGGTTAACTGGTCCTCAGTTTACATGGACCAACAAGCAAGTCAATCGCCCTATTGCTAGGAAACTGGATAGGACGCTGGTTAATCTTGAATGGATTGAGAAATTTAAGAACTGTGTAGTTGAGGTGCTCCCTGCCAACTTTTCTTATCATTGTGGGGTGCAAGTAAGCACAGAGGCTCCAATCAAATCTATGCCTAAACCGTTTAAATACTTTGAATTATGGGATGAGCACCCTAAGTTTCTGGAAATTGTTGAGGAAGCTTGGAAGGTTGAAGTCACAGGAAATCCATGGCAAATCATTTAGAGGAAAATGCGTGAAGTTAATCTAGCTCTAAAAAAGTTTAACAAGGAGGTGTATGGGAACCTTCAGGATCAAGTAAAGGAGGCTGCTGATGCTTTGCAAAGTGCTAATATCAAGGCTTTTTCGTCTCCCTCAGCAAAGAATTTTGAATCTGTCACACAGGCTAAGGATAGATATGATCAAATGTCAAAGGCCTATGGAGTTTTTGCTGGCAGAAATCCAGAGTATCATGGTTAACAATTGGGGATAAGTGCTCTAATTTATTTTACCAAGCAGTGAAAATACGCAATTCCAAAAGGGCAATTAGAAAGCTGGTGAAGGAGTCAGGGGAAGAGGTTTATCAAACTGACCAGATTATTGAAGAAGTGATTGGTTTCTATAAGAAGCTTTTGGGAGAGACAAATTTAGAGATCCACCCTAGTGAGGAGGAGGTACAGCAGCTGGTTCAGCACAAAATCCCTCAAGCTGAGTATGCAGATTTGATTAAGATGATTACAGTTGAGGAAATTCGAGATGTGGTTTTTAACATGAGCTCTCAAAAGGCCCTAGGCTCCGATGGGTTCTCTGCAGGTTTTTCAAGAAGACTTGGGGTAT